TTTCATTCTTTTACACATGGTTGACCAGTTTTCCCAGCACCAGTTGTTAAAGAGATGGTCTTTTTTCCATTGTAAATTTTTGCCTCCTCTGCCAAAGATAAGGTGTCTATAGGTGCGTGGATTTATCTCTGGTCTTTCTATTTTGTTCCATTGATCTATATTTCTGTCTTTGTTCCAGTACCATACTTTCCTGATGACTGTATCCTTGTACTTGACAACCTTACATGTTAATTTTCTATGTGTCTTTGACATAAAAAACTATGAGCTCCTTAGTGCAAGGATTGTGTCTCTTATTTCAACCTTGTACTTCCAATATCTACCACAGAGCTTGGAACACAATAAGGATCAAAAAAATATTTTAAATAAGTAAATAAACTTTGGTGGGAGTCAGAACTGGATTTTAATTATCCATTCAATCAATAATGATTAATTATTGTAATCAACGATTTCTTTAATAAATACTGTACATAATGTTCAGGATGCAGAGATTAAAAGAAAATCATAGCCCTGATCTTGAGAATGTTATCTAGTGGGGGAACAGACTTGCTTGCAGAAGATCAGAACACGGGGGCATGGAAGCGCGGAAAGAACAATGCACAGAGTGCAGCTTTGCTCACGTGTGATTTGAAAAAAAAAGTAACTGACGGACTAGTGGGCAAACTGTCTTTCTCATGGATGAGGTTACATTCAGAAAATGAGAATGTAATTGGCTGTACATTCCAAAAAGGAGACTATCTGTGCCAAAGGCATGTGATTTCTAAGGCAAATAGTCTTTCCACTACTTTCAGTTCAGTTCAATCGCTTAGTCCTGTCCAACTCTTTGCGACCCCATGAATCGCAGCACGCCAGGCCTCCCTGTCCATCACCAACTCCCGGAGTTTAACCACACTCATGTCCATCGTGTTGGTGATGCCATCCAGCCATATTATCCTCTGTCGTCCCCTTCTCCTCCTGCCCCCAATCCCTCCCAGCATCAGGGACTTTTCCACTACCCAAGCCTTCCTCAAAAATACACCAACCTATAGCAACTGGAATTACAAGGGACAGAGCCTTGACTATGTCTGAGGTGCATGTATTTAATTCTCCATGGAAAAATTTCCCTATATATATGATTGTTGAATAATTTTGTAAAGTCCATGTATCTTGCCAGTGGATAAAGAAACACAGTCTGAAGAAGTTTTAAAGGCACTGACACAGCAGGATTTCTTTGGTTCATGTCTTGTGTACACAAGACATAAGGGAGAAGACTCTCTAAAATGTTAATGCTAGAAGGGTCACACAAGAAAAGAGCAATAGATGTTCAAAATCATAATTGGGTAACAGTGTATATCAATTCCAAAACAAAAAATTGAGAGGAGTGACCCACCTTCTTCTAAAACCTAAAATGAAGCCCTCAAATGCCTTGAACCTTGGCATTCTGTCCTCAGAATTTTCTACTCACCTTAACCCTTTGCTGTTCTCCTTTCTTAAGTTTTCACCCCATCTCACTGTATTTGTGTCTCCACCCTGAGGAGGGACCAGAGAACCACATAACATTTCTAAATACTCAGTTAACATCTCTACCTGGAATTCTCATGTGCTTTAACACAGTGTACCCAAAATGAAACCCATTTCCTTCCTTCATAACCTTGTACTCTTCTGAGGGACCAAAATTCTATGTCAACATCATCTATTCTGTCTCCCAGGGTCCAAAATGTGGAGTCATCTGAAATACTTCCATATTTCCCAGTCCTCACCAAATAGTATCTGTATATAGCATTTCATACGGATGCAAAATAGTACCAGTAATATCAAAGCTATTAGAAAGGAGTGTATGTATCTTTTTTAATTGTGGTTTTTCCTATCTGGAGATAGGAGATATGTCCAGGAGTGGGATTGTTGGATCACATGGTATCTCATTTTTAGTTTTTTGAGGAAATTTTCTAACCTCACTAAGAGAGTTAATTCAACCCCTCTTTATTTACCCAACACTCTTGGTTATGAAATATTTTAGTTATTAACTGCAGTTTTCTTTTTTTTTTTTAATTAAAAAAATAGTAAAAATATATCTAGGAATTTCTCTGGAGCTGTTACGGGCACTGTGGGTTCAGTTCAGTTTCAGATAGCTCTTTGTTCCAGCTTACACGCTTCGATATCTATAGGCCCCTTCCGGTGTAGTAGGTGTTTACTACAGGGGTTTTAATCTGTTGCACCGGTCACTTCTGAAGCGGTTCCCTTTGTCTAATTTCCGCCCTGACACAGGCGGGCGGAGGTGGTCTCTTGTTCAGGTTTGCTTGTTCAGTCGCGCTGCGGGGAGGGAGGGGCGCTGCAGACAAATGTCACTGGCATGTGTGGGGAGCACTCGCAGTGTTCCGGCCACACTGGGTTTGCCCCGCTCACGGGTGTGTGCTTTCCCCGTCTACACTGCTCAGGCTCCTGGCTGCTCTATAGGGAGTGGGCCCTGCGTTGCGTGCAGTTCCAGTTTTGGGGTACTCCACAAAAGCGCAGACTCGGTTGGGTCTGCGTTTTGTGCCTTCCCCAGCCGGAGCAGCTCAGGCAGCCAGGAGCTTGACAGGCGCGCTGTCCCCGGGTGCAGTGGGCCTTGTCCCCTCCGCAGTCCCAGCCTCAGTTTCTGCGTGCGCCAGTCGGGTGCGCCTTGTGTCTCTGCTGGGGAGCTGGTTTCTAGCTGTGACCCTCCCGGCGGATGCCGACCATCCAGAATCTCAGGAAGTCTTTGGTTAGAAACTGGGAGCCTGTTTTCAGTTTGGTAGGGGTGCCGTCTCTGGGGTGGAGTTTGCCCCTTTCCCCTCCCCCCGCCTCCTGCCTCTGGTGGGGGATGGACCGGTCCGCAACCAGCTAGCTCTTCTCTGGAATTGCTCAGCCCTTCCTTTGTTCTGCGAACGGGCCGGCAGTGTGTTCGGTTAGCACTTTTCGCAGGTTAATTTTTCTCTCTCTCTGTTGCTATCCCACAGTTTAACTTGCTTTCCCCTGTTGGCTCCCTCCAATTGCCCTCAGGGAATTTGGGCCTGGTCCTTACCCTAAGCAATGCCACCCGCTCCACTTGCTGGTGGCGGATGTGAGAGTCTGGGGTACTTTTCTGCTGGGAGTTGCTTTTAGGCATGTAATCT